AACCGAGACGTGGTAATTTAGTGAGGAAATTTGGAAAAATATTCTCAAATTTTTTTTTGTTTTGAAAACTAATCTCTCTTTTAAAATCTTTGAAAACTAACCTTTTTCACACTTAAAATTACTAAAATATCCAAATCAAAATCCACCTTATAATTATTTGATAACAAAAATTAAAAATAAGATATTCGATCATTTTTGTCATAAAATATATATATATAACTTATCATGTCGTTAGGAAGAAATGGAATATGTACAAAAAGGAATATGAGCTTTTATTCTTCCTAAAATTAAGCTATTCCTAAGATTATCAAACCAAAAAAAAAAAAAAAATCTTAGTTCTTAAACTATAAGATTCGACATTATTTGGTTAAGATTTGAATTTTTAGAACCTCTACATAGAAGAGAATAGCCAGTGTCGTTTATTTCATTTTTCATAGTCAAAAGTGAATTTTTTTTTTCCTTCTAAAAAATGGTGCAATTGTTTGGGGTTTATGGAGATTGGATGATGCATGGAGGATCATGGAATTTTGTGATTAAGCACAACAAAGGAGGTAATTGTTTCAAATCAGAGATGGTATGAAATTTGATGAATTGGTTCATATGGTTGTTGAAGATTACGGCAAAATGTTGAAGAATACCATAATTTTGTAGAGACCCTTGTATCTTTTCCATTTTTCTTTTCTTAAAGATTTTTTCTTTCGATGGTGTCTTGTCCACAATATCGACCGATAACTCTTTCGACGCAATTTTACACTTGTTTTCACATGTTTGTAAAATTTTGTTTGCAGCTTTATCCTTGAGATGTTTGTTCACTGAACTTTCTTCGGTGGACCTCAGAAGAGTAAATTGATCCGTATCTTACAACTCACATTTGTTCTGCAAAAAAAAAATCTTAATTCTGTAATAGATGTGATAAAATAGCATATAGTAAAACAATAAAATAGAAAACATACATACCAAAGAACGTCGAATTTTGCTAGCTTTTCGTAAGTCTTTAACTTCTTTCGCTAGACATTCTAACTTTGATTGGATATCATAAATGTCATTATTAAGCTTCTTAAAAGAACTATTAATTATGTTACTAAGCTCCATGATATATATATATATCAAAGTATTCTTTTGTCACCATGTTGATTTCTTGATAACACCTTGACAATGATATTATAAAACTGTTAAAGTTATATCAAACGAATGTTATGAACGAGGATCTAAAAAAAATTGGATGAACTACGGTAACTTGATGAACTAACCAAATATTGCACCAAAACAAAAAATACTAACCAAATCATCCAACGAACTGTATATTTTTTTGTATGTATATGCTTCGGTGGTGGTAGACATATATATACAGTTTGAATGGACATGATAAAATCAACCTTGTAAAATATGTGTATATGTTTTTCTTTTTTTTTTATCAATAATATCTTCAAATATCTACTCTATTTATATCTAAAATATAAAATAATATCAAAATACATTTATTTTCTTTTATTGTTATCAAAATAAATACACAAATTAAGATTAATTTCAGAATTTTTTTTTTATAATTTTAAATGTTCAATCCGGATATCCTAGTCTTTTTATTCAACAAAAAGGTTATTTTTAAAAAGTTTTAAAACAAGGGTTGTTTTTCAAATTTAATAAAATTTTTGGAATATTAAACCAATCCTCCCTAATTTAGTTTATTATCTTGCAGACAAAAAAAAAATCTTATATTTTTTGTTGTCAAAATCAAAATTCAA